ATAGCACGCAGGAGCAATCAGAGTGACTCTTCAAAGGTGACTGGATGCCTAAAGGAACCTGGGATATTTTCCTGGGAACTTTTCGGGTGGGGGTTTGGCTGAGTGCCCTGAGGTCTATACTGATATTTACGTCACTGTGAAGTTTCTTCCCAAAAGGGAAATGCAGTCTCTGGTATTCTAGGGACCACAGTTCTGTCTGAGACGGTAAGTCGGAAGGACAGGTGAGTCTCTGGTATAGCGGCTGAGTGCCTCAGGGAACCTGGGACCATTTCCAGGGATTGTCTAGGTGACCTGAGGTCAGTCCCCATTGCTTTCTTCATTGTGGGGTTTTCTCTTGAATGGAAACCCCAGTCTCTGGTGTTGTGGGGCCCACAGTTCAGTCAGGGATAGTGATCAGAGCACTCAAGTGTGTGGTTCTGGGCTGGTGACCAAGTGCCTGCAGGGACCTGTTGAAATCTTCTGGGTTTTAGCTGGTTGACCAGAGAAAGGACCCAATTGTTTCCCACATCGTGTGGTTTCTGTTCACCTGGGAAACACAGTCACTGGTGTTTTAGGGCCCAGAGTTCAGTCTGTTGGTTGCTGTGCAGTCACTGCTCTCATGCTCATATGACACAGTGTCCTGTCCCCTCGACACTGCCATGTTGGATTCCTCTAATAAATAAATTTTAAAAAAAATCAGTTGACCACAAGTTCCTGGATTTATTTCTGGGTTATTCATTAGGTTCAACGGGCCTGTCTATTTTTTATACTAGTATCATACTGTTTCACAAGGGAGCACACACTTCACACATTTGTTTCAGTATAAAGAAAATAAATGTACATTTATATACAAATGTTGATAGAAGACATTTAATATTATTTGAATACAAGTTTGGTAAGTTTTTGTTTCGCTGTTGTCATTCTTACTGCATCATATTCAAAAATTTTAATAAGATGATTTAAAACAGAATAAGAAAATAACATTTTAAGGGTAAAACCTTTCTAAATATTCATAAATTTCTAATCTTCTACAGTTTTAAGGCCACATGAACCAACAAGTTTCCATTCAAATACTTTTCCTCTTAAAGTATTTAACCTCATTTCTATAGTGACTGCTGCCTTTGTGCTCAAATCAATTTATGGTATATTGAGTTAAATATTACTGCCCCAAATGTGTCTACCATTAAGAACCTTAGAGACTTATGCAACTGACTTTTGGTGTGCATGACTTGATCAAAGGAAACATGCACTGTCTTTGTAGGGGTTCATTAATTCTATTCATTAATATGATGAGATAGACTTGTGGATAGCTTAACACAGCTTCTAAATTCCATGTACGCAGGGCCTATATCTAATGAGTCCCCACAGCACTTACAAAAGTGTTCTGTGGGAAAAGTAAGCATTCTTAATGTGGCAGCAGGATTATATTAAACTGACTTAATCTCTGCTGTATTTTCCTGAACAGAAATTGGTTGGATAATGAAAATGGTACTATGGGTATACCCCAATATTTATGTACAGACTTCAAGATGACCTCACACTTTAACTATATTTTGTATATTATTATATTATAAAACTCACTGGGTTTTTTTGGTCAATAAATTTGGGACATCGGAAAAGACGGAAATGAAATTGATAAAATATTTCTATCAGGCTTCCCTGTAGGCAACTATGTGGTGCATTTTCTTGAAAAATGATTGATGTGGGTGGGGAGCACATGGGGAACAGTTTCACCCCTAGACAGTCCTGGTTGGGTAAGAAGTTGAGCAAGCAATGAGGAGCAAGCCAATAAGTAACAGTTTCCCATGGACTCTGCTTCACTTCCTCTTTCTAGTTTCTTGCTTTGAGTTGTTGCACTGATTTCCCTTCATGATGCACTGTAAGCTGTAGAGATGAAATAAACCCTTTCCTCCCAAAGTTGCTTTTGGTCATGGGATTCGTCACAAAAATAGAAACCAAATTAAGACATCATAAGACCTCACTATTATTGTGTTGTACTTTTACAATTCTTGGTTTGTGTTTATAAAAAATCAATAGTATATTTTCCCTTTAGCTTAAAGTCTACATAATATTGATATATCCCAATACTGCATGATTTGGATCTGTATTTCTTTGAATTTGGAAGTGATATTTGCATGTATCACTTTTTCTACAACATATTTTTAAACTCAAATATTTCACTCAATAGCAAATAGAGCTGCTTGGATTAACTATGGCAGTATATTAGGTGAATAGAAAACTTCCAAACTTTAAACAAAAATCTGTGATTGATGTCTCTCATATTCTGTATGTTGAAGGAGCTCATCAAGGTAGTTCTCAGTCAAAATGTCATAGGGTTGGAGCCAGATGGTTGACTAAAACTGACATCACCTGAAGATATGTCTGGATTGGATGTTTAGGTTAGCTTATTTCCGTATTCCACACTTGATGCTGGGTGATATAGCTAGGCCTACAAACTAGATCCCTTAAATGTGCCTTCAACATGTATGTTAAAACTCTCACAGCCTGAGCTCTAAGAGAGAGAATTTTGTTAATATCTATCCTGAAAAAGGAAATAGATACTGTAAACTTCTAGACATGGCCCCAGAAACAAAAGTTATGCATAAGATCTACAACTAGGTCCTACACTCAGCCCTACTGAGCATTTTAGAAAAATTAGAAAAGACTTTGCAGCATACTTTATTTAAAAAATAATTAGCCCCCTGGCAATGGGCAAAGAGACACCTTGTTGGTGGTGGTGTTCTTACATCAGCCAGGGGCAGAACAGATAGCACTCCTTTGTTCATCCTAGCTTGATGCCTGGCTTTTTTGGTCAAACCTGTTTCATGCCTAGGACACAAAAATCAAATCAAATTCAGCCAGCACAGCACAGGAGGAGGAAGACAGACAGAGACCTGCATTCTGCCATGCCATGTGGTGCAGGCAGGGAAAGACATCCACAGACCTGCCCTCCAACCCATAGCATGGGCCATAGACACACATAGCCTTGCCTACCACCACTTAGCACAGCCAGGGAAGAGAGAAACAGAGACCTGTGTACCACCATGCCACCCACATACCTGCTCAGTGCACCTGCTTGCTGCCACACCATGCAGCTTCCAGAGGCCCACCAGCTACATGGCCAGCCTGCATCAGGAGCCACCATAATGTAGAAATATGTAGTGGTCAGATGAGAGAGAAAGAGAAGTGGAGCAGCTTGAGCATTATGGAGAGATGAAACTAGAGACTCAAGGATGGAAAGGAGTAGCCTGTTGTGAGTGCCCAGCCCTGCCACCTGGGGCCATGCTGAGGTCCTAGATTCAGCTGCCACTGAGGCCCATGTCTGGTTCCATAGCTGCTCAGCAGCAGACAGTGGTCAGTGTTGGTATCAGTGGCTTATATTACCAATAGAGAACATGGGAATACCCTGGTCTGGGCAGCTACTGACACTATGTGAGTGTCCAGGGGCAGTGCAGCTCTGGCCCAGCTCCTCACTGGCTGCAACACTCTGGAGAGCTGGTTCCATCTCTGACTGGCAGCACCACTTGGAAGGTCGGCCCTGCCTTGCCCAAGCGGCACAGTAGGCTGGTCCTAATTGAGAGGGCACAGGTGAGCCAGGTTGGAGGGCCAGAGAAAGAGAGAGCTGGTCCCACCACTCATCTGCCGTGAGGTGAGATGGGTGCTGGGGTGATGCCCTCTCTTCTCTCTCCTTGGTGAGAGGTAATCAGGAGAGTTGGCCCCAAAGGCATGGGGAAGGGAGAGCTATCCCTGTTCTCTTACTGGCTGTAGGGAGAGGATGATTTCACCAGGTAGAGCTCTGAACCTTGCCTGGACAACAGAGTGGAGCTGTTGTCCAGTGACACTGATGGCAAAGGCATGAGTGAGACAGCTGCAAAGGTGTGAGAAGAGGAGAGTTGGCCCAGCCCCTTTCAGGTGGCAGCTCTTGGGAAAGTGGTCCCAGTGCCTTGACTGGGCAGCACAGTTGGAGCTGCCTTTGGAGGTGTGGATACAGGTAAACAGGCCCAGAGAGCAGGAGAGCAGGCGAGCTGCCCCTACCTCCTGCCTAAGGTGGCAGTGGGTAGCCTCGCTGAAGTAGTGCTAGAGAACTCCCCCTGGTGGTGCAGATTAAAGAGATCCTTCAGACTGATCAGGTCTGCTACCATCCAGGGCTTTAAGTTGGCCCACCCCAAAATCTATATCATCTGCAAATGGTTGTAGTGTATGAAAGGGCCAGGCCTGCTGAGCCAAAGCTGCAAGGTCTCTGTGACACAGGGAAACAATGGGTAAATGGGAGGAGTCTCATAAAGGATCCAACATTGATAAAGTGTCACAGAAGCTACAGGCCTCATACCAGATCAATGGCTCATTGCAATGAACATTCGCAAGTGAAGATGTGAGTACAGAGGCATTTATTGTGGGACATACTATGACATACTAACCTTCTATGGTGAGATGTTTGCTTTGTTTTCTTTGTGTGCTTGTGCATTTTTAATTGGGGGAGGAGTTGATAGTGGTGAAGGGTAGATATGATGAGGAGATGGGGATATAAGTGGGACTGGGATACATGATGTGAAAATAAAAAAAAGAATTAATAAAAAGTTTTTAAAAAGTAATGCAATTGGTATTACATGGTTTATTTTACTATATAATATTTTTGATTTTGGTAAGAAGGTTAAATAAAATGCTTTGTGCCCTTATAGCAGAAATAAAACTCAAGCAAATCTCTCCTGTGTGAATGTATGTATGTATGTATGTGTGTGTCTGTGTGAGAGTGTTGAGTTTTCAACAGTCTCTGGATCTACTATATGAAGGCTTGGCTTCTGAGTATCTTCTATCTGCCTCTCTGAGGAGCGTCATTCTCTGCTCTTGACCCAGTGTGCAGGAGTCACGTCTTATCTGAAGTATCTGAGGAAATACAGATTCCCTCTGCTCCAAATAGAAGAGAAATCATGAACTATCTGTCTTTCTGAATATGCTGTATTCATTTCACAAAGTTATATGCAGTATTTAAACTTCCTTTTTACTTATCTCCCCTTGGGTAGGTGGAGCTGGCTCCTGATATTAGCCTTCAATACAAAGGAGAGCTAACAGTTGTTTTACGTTACATTCCTCCAGAGGAGAGCCCTATATTCCCAGTAGAACAACTTCAAGGTAAGGTAAAAAATTAATAGCTTTGATCAGTGATATTCTATTTCTACAACTGTATGAGTAGAGTTCAGGGTTATTTTTCCAGTAAACACTGAAATAGGGCCAGAGGTAACTGTCTCAACTGAGAGTTGAGAAGTACATACTGTAAGGTATGTGGAGAAAAGGAGTTCTTGAACCAACCTCAATGGAGATATTCATTACCCATCAGTTCAAAAGATACAGAATCTTTCCCAATATAAGAGAGTTCTGTTATGGAGGAGAAGGGATTTCTAGGAAGATGCTCTATGGACTCATTCACAGCTACTGAGGGAGTCTAAAGAAAAAAATATCTGGCATAAAACACAGAAAACAAAGGGAAAATCCAGATAAAATCAATTTGTGATTTGTTTCCTTCCTCCTTTCATCAACTTCTTAAGCAGCTTCCTTTATCTTCCCATTCATGGTCACTTTCTTTAATGTCTCCCTGTGAAAGTAACTCATCTCTGGGATTGAGTTTTCTCACTTCAAAGAATGTTTTCTGTAGTTCTTTGTGTATAGTTGAGGTCTTGTGGTCTTTACACCATCCACTTAGCCAGCCCTGAAAACAGACAAGTAATGCTATTCATACTGATCAGGTTATAGTTAGTAATATATGTATATTTATATACACATATGTATGTAATAACAGTTAATGAAAAGAGAGACCATGAATTAGAAAGAGAGTAAGGATAGATATATAGGAGAGTTTTGAGGGAGGATAAGGAAGTGGAAATGATATATTTATAAACTCAGAAATAATAAATTAAAAATAACGTTGTGAAGATTAAATTGGTTCATACGGAACTTGAAAGAACATTAAAGGTGGCAGTGATGTAGTAGTTATTGCTCATGTTTAACCTATTACTTCAAAATAACTATGTGGAGAAAGGTTTCTCACAACTACAAAATGTAAATGAATCTTGTCTGTACCTTCTAGAGCTGACCCTACCTGAAGCTAACATTTTTTTTAAAAGAGAGTTATAGAAATATTCTTTTTGGAAGTCAGTTTACTATATCAAAGTCATAGAAATTTCTTTCTTGCATCTGGCTCTTTCTCAGTAAGAAAAGGATGGTAGTCTAGGAAGGATCTTTTCCATTCTGTTTCTTTAGAAGATTTCCAGGGTCATGGCTAAAGATTTTTAAAAAGAAACTAAATAAAAATTAGAGAGAAAATGAAGTTATGAGGGAAATGTGTTATGAGTAGTGCTCGAGAGAAAGAAAGAGTAGGGGTGGATATGACCAAGAAATATTGTATACTTATATGAAATTTTCAAAGAATAAAAATTTAAATATATTGCTTTTACTTTTCAGTATAGACATAAAATGAAATACCTATGAATAAGAAGTATATTTGGATAGAAATATTTATAAATATTTATTCATATTGTATGTGTTATGTATATATGCGACAAAAATCTTGATTGTCAGAAAATATAGTAATTATTTGTAGATGTTTTTGTAAATTGTGAAGTGGAGAAAATAATTATTTGTAGATGTTTTTGTAAATTGTGAAGTGGAATCTCTGATCTCCTCCATCTCCTCTCTGATGGTTCGTGTAGGAAAAAAGACCTTTAGGAAGGGGAAGAAGAAGGAGTCTTCTGCCATTTCTGGGGGAATACTTGAAGTGTTCATCAAAGAAGCAAAGAATCTGACAGCAGTAAAATCAGGAGGCACTTCCGACAGCTTCGTGAAAGGGTAATTTTGTGTTAGCTCATCTCAGATGACACTTAACAGGCACTGAACGGATCCACTAGATTATGGTAGCTGTGAGAAGCCCATGTTCTGCTTATGGAATGTCCTTTGCAAGAGCTACTCTTTCTCTGACTTCTAAAGCAATCTGAGGATGGAGGGGAGTTTGTGTGCTATCTTTCACTGTGCTTCCAGCATCTTTCTATAGGCCTTATCATTCTCACCCTGAAGCTTGGAAGACTTTCCCAAGGGATTCACTTCTAAAAAGAGAAGAACACATGAGTTTCTGCATATAATCTACTTCTATTTTTGCTTTGTGTTCATTTAGTACAACAAACAAAATATTAAATAGTATATGTATATATGTATTTATATACATGTATATGTGCGTTACCATGTGGAACAACTACTGTCCTTTAAATCAATATTCTTGCTCATTTTAGGCAATCCAAATAGCCAATATCTCTCATTTCTGACTATTGGAGATTTATTTTCATGTAATTAGAGGAAATTGGGTTAAAAGGATATTTTGCCATTAATTCAAGCAAATACCCAAATGTATATATACTGAACATTAGCTGCTGCACTGTGAAAAATAAATTAGATATGATAGCTGACCTCACGAAGAACCATGAGAGGTATGAGGTAAAGCACATTTCCATGATTCCAAGCCATGGCATGGGTTTTTGAGGCAGAGAAGTTGCCTCATTGAAAAATGATCCAGGCCTGATGACAGTGCCTGAAATCCCAATACTGGGGAGACTGAGTCAAGAGGACCATATGTTTGTATCCATTTTGGGCTACATGTCATGAGTAGCAGGGCAGGGTGGGTCACAGAGTAAGAGCCTGTATGTAGGTGAATTTTCCCACAAGGAAATAAGTCATACCTTTATTTTCATATGTTTTAAGTTTGGTAAGTCCTGTATTAAAGAGAATACAATGATTGTATTCCCCATTGGTAAATTGGGTTCTTTAGCATAAAAGAAACACTTTCTTTCTATCATTCTGTTGGACTTTGCCTCAGGAATCCCAGCACCCAGTTTAGGACTTTGCTTCTTACTGTCTTATATGGAAAGAACATTGTTCCTGGCGTATGGCCATATTATGGCCTTCCAGGAATGACTTAATATTGTTTGGAACATTTTTCACACTCTCTTGCTGAAAATTTATGAATCACAAATAATAAAGAAGAGTATTTCATTCTAATTTCTAAACTAACTTTCCAGCAATTTCTTTTATTGATATTTACATATTAAGTAATTGAAAAATTATCCAAAGAGTTGGAGAGATTGGCTGCTCTTTTTTATTTATTCTTTATTAATTACACTTCATTCACTTTGTATCCCCCCTGTGGTTCTCTCCCTCCTCCCATCCCAATCCCTCCTTTCCTCCCCCCTCTGCATGCATGCCCCTCCCCAAGTCCCCTGATAGGGGAGGTCTTCTTTTCCTTCCTTCTGATCCTAGTCAATTAGGTCTCATCAGGAGTGGCTGCATTGTCTTCTTCTATGGCCTGGAAAGGCTGCTCCCCCCTCAGGGAGGAGGCCAGAGATTGGCTGCTCATGCAGAGGATCCAAGTTCAGCTCCCAAAACCCACACAACAGCTTACAAGCACCCATAACTACATTCTCAAGATCTAATTCTCTGGTCTCCATAGCCACTGCTTGCACATTGATATATAGACATACATGCAGGGAAACACCCATATGAAATAAATTTAAAAAACATGAATAAATAAATAGCCTTAAGAATGAACTAAGATGTATTTTCAAAGATCCAGAGAGCAAGCAAAAACAGATACATAGGTAATGTTATAAAGCATATAAATTACATAATTACATATGCTCTGCTTGTGAACTGATATATTTGTGGCTTAAGAAAGACATCAGGGCCCACAAGATGGCTCAGCAAGTAAATGGAAATTGACTTGCCACCAAGCCTAATGTACCAATTTTGATAACTGGAACCCACTTGGTAAAAAATAAGAAATTTTGTAGGTTGTCTTCTGATCTCCACATACATGCCACAGTATGCTCACACACACACACACACACACACACACACACACACACACACACACTACACACTACACAGAATTAAAAATAAATATTAAAAAAATTAAAGAAAGATATTTTCTTATACATGTAAACAATGACTGAAGGTAATTTATCTAGAGTAGATATGGAAGCATCCTGATTATCAAGGACAAAGGTGTTTTTATATATCATTATAGTATCTTCTCCCATGTACCATGGTAGCTAGCTATGCAGAGTTCAGCTATCCTATGCAAAACCCAGCTGGTAGGAACCTTCCCATAACTTTTCATAGAGATATTTCTTTTATTCCATTGGACAGAACCTAGTTATTTGGCTATATGAGTTGCAAGAGAGCTTTGAGGAATACAGCGTGATCAAATTTAGAACCAGGGAATTTTAAGATGGAAATAGAAAAAAATAAAATAAAATGGAAGATGGTAATAAAAAAATGAGGATTTTAAAAAAGAAGAAAATAAAAGAAGAATAACTACAAAATGGAGACTGGGAGATAATAATGTTTTCTGTTTAATTTATTAATTTTTTTTCTCTTTGGTGGTAGGGCTGGGATTAAACCCATGGTCTTGCTGGGTAAGCGCTCTGTCATTGTCCTACTTACTAGTGCTGACCAACATAGGAAATGAAATATCACATGACCCAATTATCTTCTTTATTCCCTGGCCATTTCCTGTATCTTCATAATTATCTTATATATTGATTCCATAAATACATTCATTTTCTTCCCTAAACCATGTTTCCTAAAGGCATAAAGCTGTTTGTGATTTAGTTTGAACACAATAGAGGGAACCTAGGGTGTAGGCAGTCTACCTAGGAAGAGTTTGTTGGAAATATCTGAGAAAGAATGTAGACCAGGAAGCAAAAGAGAGAGGTAACTACATTAAAAGACTATTACTATAAGCCACTAGAGCTCAGTTTCACTGGGGAAGCAACAAGACCTCCACATAATGTTTCTTAGGAGTATCCCTTAAAGAACTGAGGAACTCATCAACCCTTAGGCAAAACCCATTGATTGACAATTGCCCTTCAAGCATCCAGTCCTCAGTAACTTCTAGGTGCTCCTTCTAGGTGGACCCTGGTTCTGGCTGCTCACTGCTCGATTTGCCATGCTATGTACAGCTCCACCTATCTGTTACCACAGCATAGACTATTGTATTTTATGTTTGTGTTTTCGATACAGGAGGCAAATTCACCCAGAACCAGATAACCTGTGACACACAGAATTTGAGGTTGGAAGCTGAAAAGTATCCACCCTGACTGCAAACCAGCTCATAGATGACCCAAAGACACAAAATGATGCTTTCAAAAGTGGCTACTGATGGGGGTCTTTTCTTTACTGTATGGAGAACCAAATATATGGAAGGGTTTGGAAAGAAATTATATTCAGAAACAGAGAGAGGACATTTTACTATTGTGGCACTAGTCATCTCTCCAAATGAATATTATTTAAGCTTATGAAAATCAAGGAGAAAACATCAAGTATACATATTACATTCACACACAGTTCCACAGAATTGTAGGAAATTCAAATGACAACTTAAAGATAGCAAATCCTTTTTTTTTTTTCTGCTTACTTTCCCACTATTGTGATTGTTTCCTTCTACAGCTACCTGCTTCCTGATGATAACAAAGCCACCAAGCACAAAACTGCTGTTGTAAAAAAGAGTGTTAATCCTCAATGGAATCATACATTTATATTCAGTGGCCTGTATCCTCGAGATATAAAGAATGTTTGCCTAGAACTCACTGTCTGGGACAAGGAGGCCTTTTCCAGCAACATCTTTCTGGGAGGTGTCCGTTTAAATTCTGGAAGTGGTAAGGAACTGGAGCTGTTCTGTGACTGGGAATGCACAATAGCAGGGTTACCACAGGTGTGATGTGTGGTAGACTTTTTATGTAGTTTGAGCTACAACTAAGTCCTGAAGTAAACACAGATGCCTCATTCTTTTAGAGGAAAAATGTTAAAATATGTGTTTCTACGGTAACTTTGTATCCTTAGGTTTGAAGTTGAGGAACTGTTCTATTTACATTTGGTCCTTTCATAGAAAAAGATCTTATATACTTTCATGTAAGTGAATTTCAAGTACTTCTTTCAGTGTTATTTCAGATTTTTCTCAGGTAAAGATCTTCAAGACAGCACAGACTTTGGTTTTTGTTGTTGTTTTCACTCATTAATCATACTTTTTTATTTGCTTTTTCTTTATTTGAAAAAAAATGTTATTTCATAATATAAGGTTTCCCACAATAATGCTGACACTTCTAGAAGAATCTAATTCTGCTTTATAACTGTTGTCAAATAAAACACGTATTTTAGGAGTTGATAGTTCTATTAGGCTCCCATGCCTCAACCCCACAGGCTCATAAACTAAAATCCATGGACAGAATACAAGGTATCTAGGAACTTGATACCAACCTAATCACATGGGTTTTACTTTATACTTTTCTTTTTTTCCCTCCCCTTAAGACCTTTTTATCCCCTCTCACAGTCCAACTCCAAAGGCCTAAAAAGCAAATTGTAATGTTTAATCACAGCAATGACCTCACTTCTCTGTTACCATTTTTTTTTGTACTAATTACTTTCACTTGACTGTGACCAAAAAAAGTGATGGATACAGCAGAAAGGATTAGAGGTTTATTTTCATCATGCCTCAGATTTCCAGGCCATCATCGTGAGAAAAGTTAGGAGTTAAGGTCTGGCTGGTAAAGTAAATCATTAGGGATGGGCTTCTACAAGTTGTAGCTTGGACCCTGGTTTTGGCTGCTCACCACTCTATTTGCCATGCTATGTACAGCTCCACTTATCTGCTACCACAGCATAGACTATTGTATTTTATTTTTGTGTTTTCGATACAGGGTTTCTCGATGTAGCATTGGCTGTCCTGGACTTGCCTTGTAGATCAGGCTGGCCTTGAACTCACAGAGATCCTCCTGTCTTTTCATCCTTGAGTTCTGGAATTACAGGTGTGTGCCACCGTGCCCGGCTCATAGAACAGACTTTAACAGAAGAGAAGTGCCTCCTAAGTTCCCCCTTTACTGCATCTTCTTTTCACTGTCTGGTCTAAAAGAAACCAGATTTTCCCTAAAAACAACATCTAATGTTGTTCATACAAGCAATATGTCTTAGTTTGCTTTCTATTGCTATGATGAAGACAATGACCAAAAGCAACATGGGGAGGAAAGGGTTTATTTCATCTTACAGTCCATTATGAAGGAAAATCAGGGCAGGAACCCAAAGGCAGAAACTGAAGCAGAACCATGGAAGAATACTGTTTACTTGCTTGATCAGCTTGCTTTGCTTTTTTTCTATAACCTAGGACAATCTGCACAGGGGTGACACTGCCCTCGGTGAGCTGTTTTCTCCCACATCAATCATCAATTAAGAAACTTCCCTATATACTGCCCACTGGTCAATGCTATAGGTATATTTTCTCAATGACCCAAGAGTGTGTCATAAATTCTAACAAGGTGGGAACTGGGTGGGGAGATGTATTGCCCTGTTTGAATGCTGTATCTCTAAGAGTGCACATGCAGTCATCTCAAATCTCTTTATCCCATAAGTTAAGCTAGCCATATACCATGTTAACATTTTGTTTTGGAAAGACTCCAACTATGAAAAGCCTTTTATATAATTAAGGAGAGCAAGAATCCACAGGTCAATAAAACTGCAATCTCCAGAGTCAGAGAAGTAGCTATTTTAGAAATAGAGATCTCTATGTCTGAGCCCAACCTATGACCTCCCATTAACTTGATTTAGCTGAACCAGTTCTCTGCCAAGCTATCAAAGTAGGGAGTAAATGAGACATCAAGAGCCATTCTAACTTTCCTGAACAACCTAATCAAAAGGAAGTCTTGGGGCCTTCAAAATCTGACTTATTTTAACACCTCTCACTAGATATTGGAACTGAGAAGAGGCCAACAGGAGGATATCTCTTTAAAACTTCCCCTCAGCAATTGTCACTTGCTTTTGGGTGATCCACCCCCTGGGTGAAATGTGTTCCCTTTTCCCTTCTTCAGGTATGAGCCACGGAAAGACTGTGGACTGGATGGACTCTCGTGGGGAAGAACAACGCCTTTGGCAGAAGATGCTTGACAACCTTGGAATGCCTGTAGAGGGAGTTCTCATGCTACGGTCCAGCATGGCAAAATGTAGGCTATGAAGGGACCAACTGCAAGAACTATATCTCTGGATGTCAGCTGTTTCCTCTCAGCAAAGGACTGGGACCTTGAATTCTGTTTTCCTGCCGTTTCTCACCTAAGGGTATTTGGACATGAGAAATATGTCAGTATGGTGAACATTTAGGATCTTGCTGATTGCCGATACACACACATACACACACACACACACACACACACACACACACACACACACGAACACACCATTCTATATATTCACCTACACAGGACTCCCTAATTAGGCAATAGAAAATGTACCACACCACCTTGCCAACAATCAAACTGTGCAATGGCTCACAGGCTTTGTGTTGATAAAAATAACACAAGCTTATTGGAATGTATTTTAGATTAGGAATCCCCAGACTTTTTCCAACTGAGTTACTTAAAGTTTCTTCAGTTTGAGGAGAGAAGGTAATGCAAAGAAGGTGGATTGCTTGAAGAATAACAAAGAGAAATACTGGCCACCTTTTTCTTATCCTAGGATTACCTGTGATATAAAACAGGCATCCAAGGGATGGTTCATCGGACAGGATAGAACACTATTATAATGGCAAACTTCAGGATGGACAGAGTGTTTCAAGATGTACTGGTGGGACGTTGGTAATTACAAAACTCATGATGTAATTCAGCCTCCTTTTGAAGGTGAAAATAGTTAAATGGTTACACATAATCACACACACATACACAATAACACACACACACACGAAACACACAGAAACAAACCAGAATGTGTGTAGAAAAACGGAATATACTTTTTCTTGATGGCAATCTAGCAATTAGAGAACTCTTACAAAAATATTTTGTAAAATATTTTAAGCCATTAAGTAAAATGAAATGAGAAATAAGGGCAAATCAATTCGTCTTTCTACATTTCATTCACTAGAGAGACTAGTTAAGTGAAAAAAGAGATACTCTGCTGTCTGTTTCCTGTCAGGACTCCATGTTCTCTTTCACTTTCCTCAAGTTCTTAGTATTCTCTTACACTATTATAATAGACACCCCAAAAGTCTTAAAATGAAAATCAATTTTCTTTTGCCTAGGAAGGTTGCCTAAGAAAGCTCTGCTTCCTGTTAATAGGCCTGAGGATCTAAATCAGATGCTTATATCTCATGCTCCTTAGACCAAACAAATAGCCTGAGTATGGCGATGGCTGAGGTATAATTGCATAAGTCTCACTGATCAATCACCTAAGTGTGTTATGTCTCATTGGCCAAAAGAAAGATGTATTGCTAAGTCACAAATTATTTTAAAAAGGAACTATACCTTGCCCACAGTGATGCCAAGACAAAAGTGAGGGTGTGAGAAAGGATGGTGAAACAGAGGCCAGTAGTTGAACCCTGTTATAAGTCCTGTCACTTTGGTACCTAAGCTACCAAATTTAGATACAAAGTCAGTTAAATCCAGAAGGGATGCCAAGCTTGGTTGCTTAGTTTGTGAGATCCAGCCCTGGGGTCAAGAGAGCTGAAATGACTTGTCCAAGATCACGTAGAGGCTGTGACTGAATCTGGACTTAAGCTTTTAGACAACTTTGACATGACTCTGTGCCTATCAAGGTGGATTATTTAAACATTAAACATACATGCTCTATGCCAGATATAGTGGGTTGCACTTGTAAACTCAGCACTTTAGAGGAAGAGGTAGAGGATTGGGAGTTCAAGGTGAGACTAAGATACAAGGAGAATTTTAGGCTGTCCTGGACAGCCACACCCTATCTCAACAACACTCCATGCACCAAAAATATGCATAGCCCAGATATGTTCTGGAGTCAGATTCAAACCCCAATTGCTCTTCATTTGAATACATGAAAACCTCAGAAAATGTAACAAATGAATGTCATGGAAGAATGAAACCATGTTCAGGTTCATCATACATAGTTATTATGGTATACCAGAGAGTGCCCAGGCTATTTATGTCTTAATCACAATTCTATCTTTACATTCATTCTCATGGAAAATCGCCTTTCTTGAAGATTTATTTCTATAATTTTATTTAATGATGACAGCTCAGATCTAACTGCCAGTATGACATCTCCATCAGGATAGCTTCTTTGAACTTATATTCAAACTAAGCACTCTACTATCAATCTTGTTTCCAAGTCCTCCTATTTTAGCCCATTCTACCCCAGTTCTTAGGAACATCCCTCCTCTAACCAATGACAGCAACCAGGCACCAGGTAATGATTTGTATTTCTTGCTTCTCCTTTGCTCTGAGGTAAAATCAGTCAGGGAATCATACTGTGTCTATTTAAGTTTCCTTATCACCATGAAACCACCCAAGTCCAAACTAGGATCACAATTTTCATGACTATTTCATGAGTCTCCTAACTCTAACCATTTCACATTATTTATTTATTTATTGTGTATATAAATGATGTGTGTTGCATGTGCATGTAGAGTCAGAGAACAGCTCTGTGGAGTCGGTACTCTCTTTTCACCTTTACATGGAATCTGGGGATTGAAGCTAGGTAATTAGTCTTTTGCTGCAAGTATATTACCAGAGGAGGCATCTCTCTGGCCGTTGCCTTTACAATCATTCTTGTTCTCCATCATTTCAAACTATAAACATAGTGATTAATCTCAAAATGGCATGTTAAATGTCAGAATATACAGAAAAATTGAAAGGCCTTTAAGCACTCTTACACCGATAACCTAAATTAACCATCTAGCATTTGCACATGAATGTAATTGTCTGTCTTTATAGAGGTTATGTCTGCCCATCACCAAAGTGATCTATACAACTTTCCACAGGCTTTCAAAATAAAATACAAATTATTGTGTATGGCCCAGCATAAGAAGGTCTTTTCTCTAGTGTATCCTAAGCTGTGCATCAACCCCTGTCCTCCCTTTCTCTTCAGTCACCTTATATGCTTTTCTTGTCTTCATCGGTACAATCTTCATGAAACACCCAGATCTTAAATGCTACTTCCTCTGGAAAACTTTCTTGATCCTGTTCTGAACTAGGCCATGGAAGCCTACCTTTATTTCCACTCCACTACAGTCATCACAATTATAATAAATTATTCATGTAATGAGCCTTTTGATGCCATATTTGTTGTCTCCCCTCTATGTAACATTCACATGGGTTGAGACAATGCGTTTTCACATCTATATCCCCAGTGCTTCGCTTAGAGTAGCTTATCAACACTATTTGTGAAATAAGTCAAAAGAAAACAAAAAAACTATTTGTGAAATAAGTCAAAAGAAAACAAAAATAACACCCCATAACCTTACATTAGTAAGCATTTTTAAAAGCCACCATTTCAAAGTAAGAGGGGAGGAGGAAATAGAGCAAGGGTGGATAGAGGCTTGCATATCTTTTTTTTTATATACTTGAAACATTGTTTACCAAAATAGTTAGAAAACAGACAATAATTCAGAAAAGAATAAAATCCATCTTTCCTTTTTGTTTTAATTAATTATTTGTGAATCCCACTCAGCAGCATCTGCCCTTGCACGTTTCCCAACAAAATAAAATAAAAAACAAAACAACAAACAAGCAAACAAAAACAAAACAAAGCATAGGAAACACATCATCATGAAAGCTGTAGTTTGTCATTGTGTATTCCACCATGTACCCTTTTGTCCATACTTCATTGCAAATGTTCATTGCAGTGAGTTGTTCATTGGTCTGGTTCAAGACCTCTGGTTTCTGGTACACCATCAATTAAAGATCCTCACCGAGACTTCTGTCAGCGATCTTGTTGTTGCCCTGTGTCATGGAGATGATGCAGCTTTTGGTCAGCAGGACCAGCCTCTTCATGTGCTCCAGCAGTCCATAGATGAGGGAGATGTTGTGGTAAGCCAACTCAAAGCCTTGGATCTAGGCCTAGGTGGTAGCTGAGTTGGTCAGCCTGCCAGCTCTCCTTCATCCACAGCACCAGGGTGAGCTCTCTAGCACTGCCCTGGCTAGCTAACACAGGGACCAGGGTCAGATCTACTGTAGTGCCCAGTCAAGGTACAAGGCCCGCTCTGCTCTCCCAAGTGTTGCATCAGAGGAGGGGCGAGGCTTGCATATCTTAACTAAGGGTTTGGTCATTGACTGAATAAAATGGAGTCTACTGAAAGTTTTGAACTGAAGAATGACAAAATAGTATGCATCTTAACAGTATCTCTCTGACTGCTGTATACAGTACATGGTGAAGAGACAGCAACCTGCAACACTGAGGCTATTTTCTACTACAAGTAACAAAATAAAAATCTAAAGGTTATGGAAGAGTGTAGCTGGAGAGTTATCCATAAGCCTAGAAAATAGGTGTTTCTGTTTGTTTGTTTGTTTGTTTGTTTGTTTGTTTAGTTTGCACAGCTGTGTTCTTCAGACTAGGTCAATCCTGTATTAAGACTACTGATTTTTCATCACTTTTATAGGCACAATGCTGATGATTATTAGATATGCTGAATGAAAGTTGTAGAAGGGAGAGAATTTTGGCAAACTAAGAGTAACTGACAGGGAGACATTACTAAAGTTGGTGAACTGTGTCAATGCTTTTTAGGAAATCTGTGGAAACTAAAAATCAAATTTAAGTTTTCATATATGTTATTCCTTATTGTTAGTAAATGAAATCAATAAATTTTTCATGAACATAAAAAAATCACCACGGATATGCCAAATAGGTTAATTTGAGAAATGCTGTATTTAGAAGACAGACTCTACTTACTATTACAGAATATGTTCAAATATGCTGAAGATAAAAATCTATTGTCAGTTTTTTTAATATGATCAAATCGAGGAAACTGCTAGTGATCCAACAACCCAACTTTTCTGTCTTTACTATCCCTTCCTTAGATCTTCTCCTCCACTAAAAGCCATCTTCTTCTATGGCCCATCCATTCCCCCCCCCCATGACATATGGAGGAAATATGCCTTTCTCACAGGAATCTTTCAATGCTCTTAATCAATATAAACAAATTCACCATCCTGTCAAAACACACTCCATGGAAACACAAGCTAATGTGTCACCATGAGTAAAGCATATATTCCCTCTCACTTCAGTGACTTTACTAGAATTCATCAACCTATGTTGGAGAAGCATCCTTTAAAAAGTGAAACTGCGTAGATAATTGGTATAGCCTGTGGATGCCAAAAGGCTCATATTTTTATCCAATATTTTAATACAGAAGAAAGTTTTCTGTGTTTTCCTTTTGCTCTGAGGCCAGAATTAACACACATAATTAAAGCAAAATTTAGATCACTGGATAGGAGGTCAGAGAACTAGATACCTGTTTAAATCAGAAGAGTACATCCTTGTCTCTGTTGTTAAATATAGTTAAGCAGAGCTGGATACAGTGGTGCATACTTTTAATCTCAGCACTTGGGAGGCAGAGGTAGGTGGACCTCTGTGAGTCTGAGGTCTACAGACTGATATCCAGGACAATCAAAGCTACACAGAGAAACCATGTCTTGAAACACCAAAAGAATATTTGGAAAGCCACAAAGGGAATCTGATTATACTTGCTAAATATTTTACTTACCAATTTCATATTTTGATATCATAAATTTCAAACTTGTTCATGAAAATGTGTAGGAATTGATGAACCACAACACTGAGGTTTTATTTTCAATTATTTTCTTTTAGAAACAAGTAAGGAAGGTAGCCATTCTATCACAGAACAGTCTTATGAAACACTCAGAGATGGAAATATGATTGAGAACTGCAAATATGTTTTTTCTTCATAAATAGATATTTTAAAAGAGAGATTATTGATTTTCAATTGGCATAGAGAAAGGGACATCTAGACTCCTTTCTGTCTTTTTCTGGTGCCCCTTGAATTGATAGCATACATACCAGAGGCTTAGGAGTCCCCTTCTTTTTTGCACATGGGTTTCTGGAAATATCATTATTCAATTTAAACTCTTTCCTGTCACCTCAGAACCCAAGTTAACATTATTTACTTGCAAAACATCTGAATTATCAGAAGCATGTGAAGAGGCAAGTTACCTTGGCAGCTTCCCAAAGTCCTAAGAGGCACTGAAATATATGCCTAAAAGGCATTGGAAATATAATGAAGTGGGGAACTGCTCTCAGGAAGAATATGGTATTAACAGAAAAAAAAATAGCTGCTTGAACATATAGAAGAGGTAGAGATCCTAACCCTGAAGAGCAATTCATGGGTGATAAATTTCTTTTTAAGGGCAGTTTTCTAAAAGACTTGGGGAGGTGCAGTTGTTGCTGAATATGTTATACCAGTTTGGGCCAGACATAAATTCTGAAGAACAAAGGGGAAAGAGGAATTTGCCTTACCTGAGGAATTCCTTTGTATCTCTTCCATAAGTAAAGTGTGCCTCAATAAAAATGTCATACAAATAGGTAAGGAAGATATCAAAGACATAAAATGGTGGAGGAATGATGTAACCCTGTCTACTCAAGATGCTTCGGCAGGAAGATCACAAGCTAGGGGCTAGCCTGGGCAACTTAGGAAGATCTTGTCTCAGAAAAAAAATTAAGACTTGAGCTGGAGCTCAATGTCAGAGCACTTGTCTCACATGTATAAGACCTTGGGTTCAGTCTTCATCAACAAGATTAAATTACATTAAGTTTATCTGAGAAATTCATCATGCCATCAGCTCAGGTAATGGCCCAGCTCTGTGACTGTAGTGGGTCTCCCATTCCTGGAATAAGATTGCATTCATGAGCAAGCCTAGGTTTTCTCTGGGACTTACAGATTAGTCTAGGGTTTCAGTGTGTTATACAAGAAAAGCACATTTTTAATGTCTCATGAGGATTTATGAATCACTGAGCTACAAAGTAAGAGCTATTCAGGAAAAATTAAAGGGGTAATTTTCCCCTTCACAGATGGAATCATCTATACATGTGTTCATTCACTTACCAAGGTAGTCTCCTAAACTTTCTTTTTCTGCTAAGAAGGTGTCCTATTTTGCTTGTTTCTTGTTAATAGATTTTACTGCTTAGAGAAAAACTGTGTTTACAGAAAAACTGAGTAGAAGCTTCAGAGAGTTTTAATATACGATTTATCTCCACAGTTCCTCCTGATTAATCCTTTGAATTAGTGTGGCATATTCATTAGAACTGATGATAGATACAATATTTGCACACTATTTTTAACTAAACATGAAACTTTATAGTAAGGTCCATGTTTTGTGATTTAGAGTACTGCTTGTCTTGACAAATACATAAACAAAGTAAATATTCTTAATAGACTTGCTGCTTTTTGCTTAGCAATATGCATTTAAGGTTTCTTTCATGTCTTTTGTGATGTGATAGTTTAATGCTTCCTGTGGTAAGTGCACTTAATATGATGTCAATCCTTTTCACAAAATTTTAAGTGTTTTATATACGTATAGGTATATATGTTTGTTTTAAAGTATTAGGAATAAAGTATACACTGAGAAATAAATGTTTTTAATCTCAAGAGATGATAGGAACTCTGCATTCATTTGCCTATTTTGTTGTTGGCTACAAAGTTCCTATTTGCTTACCTTAACATGTTTAGTACAAAATTAGTAATAATAATATGGAAATGTTTAACATGTTTACTTCTAAGCTTCTGAATGGAATATTTATTCTAGAATAAAGCTGCATGCCATCCTGTATGTGATGCAAATTATGATGTCTTGTTCATTAAATTCACTTTCCTAGTATTTATAACATGTTGTCTTCCAAGTTATTCTGAGCTCTGGAAGATGGATTGTATGTTCTTGGAGATTGATTATGTGACATCTAGTTTTACTGTTTTTACACTTATTTTTCTCAGAAGATATGAACATTTTCTGAGCTGACATGGAATAGATAAATGTGTAATTTCCATCTTAAAGTTAAAAGTGGTGCTGAACAATTCTCAATTATTAGCTATTTCATCTGCCCCTCAGTTTGGTGTTTGCTCACTTATCTAGATTCTGGCATTTGAAATCACTTTGCCCTCTCCTCAATCAATGAAAGTTCAACCTGCAATACGGTGTATAAAAAATAATCAAGGTCTTCACAAACATAAGACAGGTGATGTAGCCCTAAGGTTGGAAAGTAGAGACATGTTACTTTTCCTACGGTGTGAATGTATCACATACTTAGACTCAAAGAATATCTTAAAAGCCTTTGGCCAAGGAAGTTATTTGACACTGAAGAATGCGCACCTGTGGGTTCATGCAATAAATTTGATTAGTTTCACCACATGTCTCATCATCCCAAAGCAGTCGGTTTGATGTTTTGCTCAAAGTTCGGTTACAGAATCAGCTGATAAACATTTAGTGAGAATGAGGAAATAGCTTCATGATATAGTATGTGCCTTAAAGCACTAGCTTATGTATGCGTGCAAGTACGCTTTCCTGACTCTGTGTGTGTGTGTGTGTGTGTGTGTGTGTGTGTGTGTGTGTGTGTGTGTTCTGTTCTGTTATCTCTCAGAATGGAGAAGGGCATGGGTGAAGGAGCCATGATGTAGAGCTGCAAATGTCTCCTCTTATTTTTAATGCTTTTATTTTTAAAATTTTTATTTTATTGTTATTAATTACAGTTTATTCACTCTATCCCAGCGGTAGGCCTCTGCCCCATCCCCTCCCAATCCCACCCTCTTTCTCCTATGCCCCTCCCCCAGTACATTGATAGGGGAGGTCCTCCTCCCCTTCCATATAACTCTAGTCTATGAGGTCTCATGAGGAGTGGCTGCACTGTCTTATTCTGGGGACTGATAAGGCTGCTCCCACCTCAGGGGGAGGTGATCAAAGAGCTAGCCCCTGAGTTCATGTCAGAGACATTCCCTGTCCCCATTACTAGGGAACCCTCTTGGACACTGAGCTGCCATAGGCTACATCTGAGCAGGGGTTGTAGGTTATCTTCAGGAATGGACCTTGTTTGGAGTATCAGTTTCAGAAAAGACCTCTGGGCCCAGATTTTTTGGTTCTCTTGCTCTCCTTGTGGAGCTCCTGTTCCCTCCATGTCTTGTTATCTCCCCCTTCTTTCCTAAGATTTTCTGCACTCTGCCCAAAGTTTGGCTATGAGGCTCAGCATATGTTTTGATACCCTACTGGGTAAAGTCTTTCAGAGACCTTCTGTGATAGGTTCCTGTCCTGTTCCCTGTTTTCTCCCTCTTCCAATGTCCATCCTATTTGCCTTTCTGAATGAAGATTGATCATCTTACCCAGGGTCCTCCTTCTTGATTACCTTCCTTAGGTGTACATATTTTAGTATGTTCATTCTATATTATATGTCTAATATCCACTTATACGTGAGTATATACTATGTGTGTGTGTTTGCTTCTGGGATACCTCACTCAGGATAATGTTTTCTAGATCCCACCATTTGCCTGCAAAATTCAGGATTTTCTTGTTTTTAATTGCTGAATAGAATTCCATTGTGTAAATGTGCCTCAATTTCTGTATCCATTCCTCAACTGAGGGACATCTGGGTTGTTTTCAGCTTCTGGCTATTACAAATAAAGCTGCTACGAACATGGTTGAGCAAATGTCCTTTTGTACTTGAGCATATTTTGGATATATGCCTAGGAATAGTATAGCTGGATCTTAAGGTGGGACTATTCCTAATTGTCTGATAAAGTGTCAGATTGATTTCCAAAGTGGTTGCACAAGGTTACATTCCCACCAGCAAGGGACTAGGGTTCCTCTTACTCCACATCCTCTCCTGCATGTGTTGTCACTTGAGTTTTTGGTCTTAGCCATTCTGATATGTGTAAGGTGAAATCTCAGGGTCGTTTTGATTTGCATTTCCCTGATGACTATGAATGTTGAACATTTGTTTAAGTGTTTCTCTGCCATTCACTGTTCCTCCATTAATACAGAATTCTCTGTTTAGCTCCGTACCCCATTTTTAATTGGGTTACTTGATTTGTTCCTGTTTAAACTTAAGTTCTTCATTCATTCTGCATATTAGCTCTCTGTCAGATATAGGGTTGGTGAAGTTCCTTTCCCAATCTGTAGGCTGTCACTTTATTCTGACAACAGTGTCCTTTGTCTTACAGAAGCTTTTCAGTTTCATGAGGTCCCATTAATGAATGTGGTTCTAAGAGGCTATGCTGTTGATGTTCTTATCAGGAAGTGGTCACCTGTAGGTTCAAAGCTATACCCCATTTTTTAATCTAACAGGTTTAGTGTGTCCAATTTATATAGAGGTCTTTGATCAATTTGGATTTTAGTTTTGTGCAAGGTGGTAAGTATGGATCTATTTGCATTTTCTACGTGGAGACATCCAGTTAGACCAGCACTGTTTGTTGAAGATGCTATCTTTTTTCCATTGTATGGTTTTGGCATCTTTGTCAAAAATTAGGTGTCCATAAGTGAGTAGGTTTATTTATGGGTCTTCTATTCTATTCCATTGATCTACCATTCTGTTTGTATGCCAGTATCATGCAGTTTTATTACTGTTGCTCTATAGTACAGCTTGAGATCAGGGATGGAACTACCTCCAGAACACCTTTAATTGTAGAGGATTGTTTTAGCAATTCCGGGTTTCTTGTTACTCCATATAAAGTTAAGAATTTTTCTTTCAAGATTGAGAAAGAAATGTTGGTAATTTGATGGGAGTTGCATTGCATCTGTAGGTTGATTTTGGTAAAATGGCCATTTTTATTGTTAATCCTATTGAGCCATGAGCATGGGAGATCTTTGCATCTTCTGGTGTCTTTTCTTCAGAGACTGAAAGTTTTTTTTCATACAAGTCTTTGACTTACTTGGTTAGAGTTACACCAAGATACTTTATGTCTTTTGTGGCTATTGTGAAGGGTGTTGTTTCCCTAATTTCTTTCTCAGCCCATTTGTCTTTTGTATGCAGGAGGACTACTGATTTTTTAAGTTGATTTTGTATCTAGCCACTTGGCTGAAGGTGTTTATCAGCTGTAGGAGTTCTCTGATAGAATTTTTGGGGTCACTCATGTATATTATCATATCATCTGCAAATAGTGATACTTTTACTTATTCCTTTCCAAACTGAATCCATTTGATCTCCTTTAACTTTCTTATTGCACTAGCAATGACTTCAAGGACTATGTTAAAGGGATATGGAGAGAGTGGGTAGCCTTGACTTTTCCCTGATTTCAGTGGGATTGATTTAAGTTCATCTCCATTTAGTTAGATGTTGGCTATAGGCTTACTGTATATTGCCTTTACTATGTTTAGGTAAGTTCTTTGCATCCCTGACCTATCCAGGACTTAAAATATAAATGACTGTTAGATTATATCAAATGCTTTTTCAGCATCTAAGGAGATTATCATGTGATCTTTTTCTTTCAGTTTGTTTTATATGGTGGATTACATTGATGGATTTCCATATCTTGAACCCACCCCTGCATACTTGGGATAAAGCCTACTTGGTTATAGTGGATGATATCTTTGATGTGTTCTTTGATTTGGTTTGTAAGTATTTTATTGAGTATTTTTGCATCAAAGTTCATAAGGGAGATTGGCCTGAAATTCTCTTTCTTTGTTGAGTCTTCGTGAGGTTTAGGTATCCAGGTGACTGTGGCTTCATAGAATGAGTTTGGTAATGTTCTTTCTGTTTCTATTTTTTGGAATACTTTGGAGAGTATTGGTGTTAGCTCTTCTTTGAAGGTCTGCTAGAATTCTGTTCTGATTCCATATGGTTCTGGGCTTTCTTTTTTTTTTTTTTTTTTTTTTTTTTTTTTGATGGGAGACTTTTGATGACAGCTTTTATTTCCTTAGGAGAAATAGGACTATTTAATTGATTTACCTGTTCTTGATTCAGCTTTGGCAAGTGGAATCAATCAAGAAAATTGTCCATTTCATTTGGATTTTCAAATTTTGTGGCATATAGGCTTTTGAAGTAAGACCTAATGATTGTTTGGATTTCCTCAGTGTCTGTTTTTATGTCCCCCTTTTCTTTTCTTTTCTTTTTTTCTTTATTAATTACACTTTATTCACTTTGTATCCCCCTTGAGGTTCTCTCCCTCCTCCCGTTCCAATCCCTCTTTTCCTCCACCCTCTTCATGCATGCCCCTCCCCAAGTCCACTGATAGGGGACTGTCCCCCTTTTCATTTCTGATTTTGTTGATTTGGATGGTCTCCCTCTGCCTTTTAGATAGTTTGACTAATTTTTTTTTCTATACTGTTGATTTTCTCAAAGAACCAGCTCACGGTTTCATTTACTTGGAATTGTTTTGTTTCTAATTTATTGATTTTAGCCCTGAGTTTGATTATTTCCAGCTGTCTCCTCCTCTTGGGTATGTCTGTGTCTTTATTTTCTAGGGATTTCAGATGACCTTTAAGTTGCTTGTATAAGATGTTTCAAATTTCTTCTTGAAGGCACTGAGGTGCTATGAATTTTCCTCTTAGTACTGCTTTCATTGTTTCCAGTAGGTTTGGCTATGTTGTCCCTTCATTTTCATTGAATTCTAGGAAGTCTTTGATTCCCTTCTTTATCTCATCTGACCCAGCTGTCATTGAGTAAAGAGTTGTTTAGTTTCCATGTGTGTGTAGGCGCTTTGCTATTTTTGTTGTTGTTGAGGTCTAGCTTTAGACCATGGTGGTCAGATAGATCACAAGCGATTAATTCAATCGTCTTTATTTATTTTTGTTAATTACACTTTATTCACTTTGTATCACCCCATAAGCCACTCCCACCTCCCCTCCAGATCCCACCCTCCCTCCCCCTTCTTCAAGCATGCCCCTCCC